TTTTTTGAGATATGGTTAATATTGGTATCATAGGGTTTGTAGCTTACTGAAAGTGCACTTTTGTTCATTTAAATGAACATTTTTATTGATATTTTCTCTTTATTGTTGATAGGTCAATGGAACAGAAGCAGACTATGAATATGAAGAAATTACACTGGAGCGGGTAAAAACACGCACACCTTCGCAGTACTTATTTGTTTGTATATTCATACATGCTTTGACGTTTTTACTGATTCAACACAACATTTAAGCTTGAAAGATGCACTGTTAATTAATCTTGGTTTAGCATTAATGTGTGCACCTTTGCTCCATTTGAAAGTTAAATGCAGTAATAGAGTCTTAAAAATTGTAAATGGCAGCTTCCGTGTCACATAATGATGTGCAGCACATAAAGTTCTCATATTCGAGACAGTGAAACATCGTAAGAGGGCAGCTTTTAGTTTTGGAAGTTTAGTTTAAAAAAAAAAAAAAGAAGACGGTTTTACTACCACAGACTTGAGCATGAAATTCCGTTTGCCCTGTGCCAGCCGTCATAATCTCTGATTATCTTTCTCTTCTGCCATCATCTCATCATTCATCTTTTTCAATTTTGGGGCTTTTAGTCTGACTTTGCTAAACCCTTGTTCTCCATACTTCTCCTTTCTTGCTCATCTTTACCCTCTTTCCTTTCACCGCTTACCATTCTTCTTTCTCTCCTCCCCAAGGCTGTCTCTCTGTGTCTTTCCATCGTTCTATTCTCCTGTGACCTGGTTCTGTCTGCTCGACTGAATCTGCTTTTAAGTCACCGTGGACATACACGCAAACACAGCCACACACAGTACACAAGCTTTAAACCCATGACAGAGCATGAGCACCGAGTGGAAGAAACACAAAGCAGTGGCTGTTAGCAGATAATGTGTGACTTCGATTCACACAGCTTATCTTCTGTGGCTAAGACAGGCTTGTTCAAAATGTGTACATTTGTTTCAGAAATAATAAACATTTGGCAAATAAATAAAGCTTCTAAGTTAAATGTATATTGATAGATGGTGATAAGTGAAATGTGCAAAATGTCTGTTCAATATGTCGGATGCAGCGTGTTTGGGTATTAACGATGTGTGAGGTTTTGGCAACAGGAAGTTTAATCCAGTGGACAAATTACTCCAGAGTGATTAACAGCATCTTATGTAACGCACCTAGCTGCACCCAGTGGTGTTTCTGATCCATTACAAAAAAACAATATCACAGTGTATCAACACAGTGAATGGATGTATGGACGGATGGTGTTTAGTTCATCATTAACATACAGTGTGTCTGTCTGTGTGATTAGGGTAACTCAGGCCTGGGCTTTAGTATCGCTGGAGGCACTGATAACCCCCACATTGGAGAGGACCCTTCAATTTTTATCACCAAAATTATTCCAGGAGGGGCTGCAGCCCAAAACGGACGACTCAGGTACAAACATTCTCTTTTTTTTTTTTCTAAATATGAAGTTGAATTGTTCGCATGCTGATAATAATTATAGTTACAGCAAATATTTATAAAGATAGCTGCTAATGTTTAAAGAAACTTGGTGAAAGTGTTTGTTTCATCATTTTACTGCATGTTTAAGATGTGATCATTTGTTTCATGACACAAGCCCAAAAAAAATTATTTGGAGCAACGATTCTGTGCAGGGTGAACGATTGTATAGTCCGAGTGAATGACACTGACGTCAGGGAGGTGAGTCACAGCGGGGCTGTGGAGGCGCTGAAGGAGGCAGGAGGACTGGTCCGACTGTGTGTACGACGCAGGCGAAGCCTCACTGAGAGGGTCATGGATATCAAACTGGTCAAAGGGCCCAAAGGTGAGACATTACTGCAAAAACATGTAACACTGGAGCAAATACATTATAAGGACAACAATTGTTGCTTAGTGCCAATTATTAAACCTATTTAACAACATAAAAGCAGAGCTGAAGCTCAAAAAGGAGACAGTTTTACCTCCTAGAAATAGTAAGAGGTGTGGATGTAATAAATCAAGCATTTAGACCAGGGGTCTGCAATCTGCGGCTCTGGAGCCACATGTGGCTCTCTGGTACCTCTGCAGCGGCTCTTTCAGACTTTGACCAAAACTAAAATAAAACAGAATTTTATTTAAATTATTGCCAACAATGAAAACTGCTAGTTTTAGAAGACTTCCTGTCATTTTCAAGATTGTGAAGAACAGTACAAATACAAGGCATAAAACATGTAGACTACATCATACTAGTAGTTTAAGACACTTTTAAGTCAACTTCCAGTGTCACGGCGTGATCCTTCTCTCAAAACCACCAGAACGTTTTGGAATATATTTAAGACAAGCTGCTGAGAAGGAATGTTTGTCACTAAAAAGAAAAGACAAAAAAAGTCAAAGTAAACAAAAGTATTCAGCTTCTTTCAGCTTCCTTGTGCAAATTTAAACATTTTTTTCAGAAACTTTCAGCTGTTTTGTGCTCCTTTCTACTTACTACTACTTTTTTGTGCTTCCAACTTTTTTCTGCTAATTTCAGCTTGTCTTGCTCCTTTCAACTTATTTCTGAAAGTTTCAGCTACTATTTAGCTGTTTTATGCTAATTTTAGCTTTTTCAGCTAATTCCACATTTTTAGCTCCTTTCAGCTCTTTCTGCTTCCTTCTGGTAGTTTAAGCTTCTTTCTGCCTTTACAGCTACTGTTCAGCTACATTTTGCTCATTTCAGCTTTGTTTTAGCAAATTTTCTAATTTCTATGCTCATTTCTGCTTATTTGAACATAATTCAGCAAGTACGTGTTCTTTCTCCTCTCTTCTGCTAATTTAGGCTTGTTCTTCTATATCAGCTACATTTCAGCACGTTTTTACCTCATTTCAGCTGTTTTTCAGCGTTATTCTGCAATAAGTATTCACATCGCATTTTCACAGGAAATGCAGTTTCTCTAGTTTTAATTAAATATATAATTGGATATCCAACAAACTGGCCTAATTTTATACCGTCTTTAACTTTATGCTTTACATAGTATATTTACTTCTTCAACAATTAAGAGAACTCACATCGGCCTGCAGAGTTCAGTATTTTTAATTTTGTAAAATTGTTAAAAATTATATATTTTTTCTTTTTTACATGAATCTGGTCATTTATTTTGTATTAAAATGAGAAAAAAAATCAATAAATGTTAAAAATAGTTAGACATTTTTTGTTTTATTATATCACCCCCATTGGCCAGGAAAGCCATCTCCAACAAGCTTGTAGTGGTCCACGGGCCACCAGTTGACAGTTCACAGTTGTAAAAGGTTTTATAGCTCCGGACACATCATAATTTGTAAGCAAAGGGGAGAAAAAACTGCTCTTTTTCTTGCAAAGGTTGCAGACCGCTGATTTAGACAATCCTGTGGACGTCATATCATAACTGTTGCTTCTTTCTCAGGTTTAGGATTCAGTATAGCAGGGGGAGTTGGGAACCAGCATGTCCCCGGTGACAACAGCATCTATGTGACTAAAATTATTGAGGGAGGAGCTGCTCAAAAGGATGGACGGTTACAAATTGGGGACAAACTTGTTGCTGTAAGAAATACATTTTATTGTATTTAACATTTTCATCCTAAAACCTGATATGCATACTGTATATACAAGTTACTGTTGTACACAGTTCACATTAGTTAGTGGTCCTGATGAGGGTGGAAAGTGTTTAGTTAAGCAGGTTTGCCTTATTTCTTTCAAGGTAAACAGCACCTGTTTGGAAGAAGTATCTCATGAGGATGCAGTAGCTGCACTAAAGTCCACACCTGATGTTGTTTACCTCCGTGTGACCAAACACAGTGCCCTTTTCATCAATGAAAACTTCCCGCCTCCCGATGTCACTAATTGTGAGTATCCAATTGACATTTCACAGTGCAGATTACTATAAAAGTAGTTAACTTTATTATTATTTTTGCTCACAGTTTAGATTCTATCTATCATATAGATAGAGTTTGAGGAAATGTAATTCAGCAGAACCCCCTTAACTTACAACAAACATCATGTAGGGGTTGACCCGTGTGCTGGTAATTGTTTTCACACATCACTGAAACCACAATTATTTTACAACCCACTGGTGCTAATACAAAACAGACAAAACTAAAATCATTCTTCTCACACATGAAGAAAACTGAATTTATGCCTGCAGGTTTCAAACTGACTGATCAGACATTAAGATTCCAAGATGTCACTGGATGATTTATATTAAAATAAGGCAGTTTTAGGAATTTATTTTGTTTTAATAAATCACTGGATTCCATATCTTTGCAGCATGTAGACCTTTCTAATAATAAAGCATATCAGGTTAACGTTTTAGAAACTCTTATCAAATCAAACATGATAACCAACTGTCTAAGAAGAAGTTTATTATTTCTCTGCAGTCATACTAATTGAAACATGGTGGACTCGGTTAAAACTCTGAAGTTGCACATTTAATGGAAGCACACATACAATAAAACACAATAAAGTGGGTACTAAAATTAACCATACGTATATCAGTAACATATACTTCACACTACACATTGAAAATTGAAGATTTGCTACTAATAACGTTGCATCAACTAAGATATCTGGAAAGTAACAAATTTATATGACCCAAATTTTTTGCAACAGATTTGGTAAACATGCACACACACAGAGCTAGATTTTGAAGAACATTATTATTTTTCTGAAACATACTTTTTTGTATAAATATGATTGTAATGTAGTCATTTTTTGTTTTTACTATAGAAAAATTGCCTGTTTGTCAGGCAAGGGATCAAACAAACTTGGAAATACTGGTAAATTATCTATACATATATATAAATAAAATTTTATGATCAATTCTTTACACAAGAGTCGGATTAGAAAACTGGGTAAAATGGATCTGCTGGTTTACAGCCACTTGTTTTCTCTCCAAATCAACATTCTGTCAAACAGCATGTTTATTTATTTCTGTCTACACTTAAAATAGTTGCAGACCATTTAATAACATGGAGGCATTCATCAGTTTTGACACAGTATGAGCTGAGATTAGTCATATAAGTGTTTATGTTTCTGTTAATCAAACTGTTAATCAAATTATACTTTGTCTTGAAATGACATGTATATTCTTTGAAAATAATATATGGGATGAAATTATTGCACAGTAAGACTGTATGTTTTTTTTTTTTCCACTAGCATATTCCCCACACCATGACAACCATGTAACCCCCTACATGAGTGGCAGCCAATCAGTAAGCCCCGCCCCTCTGACCACACCCAGATACTCACCGCTGCCCAGGTCCATGACAGCAGATGATGATGATGTCACCAGGTGAGAGCTCACCAGCGCACATACAATACATATCTACTGTATGTATCAAAAGACATAATAATATTTGTCAGGTGGGTTTGCAAACATTTGCTGGGGGAAGTTTTGTGCAACGAAATCAAAAATGTTCTCAGTCGGATTGTGTCATTTCTAAGATGACTGCAATTCAACTGTTTACCTGATCTGTAGTCCGTGATTCTGATTTTACCCTTCTGTTAATTTTCTGGGCTTGTTTTGAAATGATCCTCTCTAATACACTAATCAAAACATTTTAATGAATTATAGAAGTCTTGGTGTAAAGGAGTGACCTCTGTCTTGCTGCTTGCTGTGCAGCTGCCCATGTGTGACTGTGTGTGTGTTTACAGCAGTAAAAGACAGATGGCTCAGTGAATTTTGTCCGGCATGTAAACTCGGCTCACATATGTGCACACGCTTACATCCACACTTTTACACACAAACACATACAGATACTCTCTCAGGGCTACTCTACTGTCTTTAATCCATTTTAATGGAGGGATTAAAGCTTATCACAACCCTCGTCACTCGACAGGCATCACCGTGGTTACCAGAATATGACTCTTTTCATCATAGACCTTTGGGCCAATCAGATTGCTTGGACTATAATAAATCTGATAAACCGCAGTTGAAATGCTGATTGTCATTTTGACGTCTGCCCTTCTTTTGTTCTCTAGTTATCTTTTTATCAATGAATCTTGATGCCAATGGAGCTCCAAAGGCTTATCAATGTCCACTGAATAAAAACTAATTCCAATGAGTTTTCTTCAACCTTCAGCTGTAAACAGGAATTTCAAAGGGCACACATCTGAAATGTGTATGTATGTAATATGAACCTGAAAGACAGACTAACACACACACACACATATATATAGCTTCATATGTCTGTCTATCTGTTTCCTCATGCTCACATCCCCATCTGACAAACAACATTTTTTACATCATTATCTTTTGCTTTTATTTGTAATTTTCAAGTTTTGAATATTTGTGTCATGATACACATGCCTTGTTGCCACTGTAGAAATGCGGGACTGGTCAGGGTAGCATATTTGCCTAGTTAGAGATTTGGAAGGATTTGTAGGGTCTGTTCTTGTTGCTGACTTGAACCTCGATGCTGTCACCTTGCCAGCTCTCATATCAAACCATAGCCTGGACTTTTTGATATATATATATATATATATATATATATATATATATATATGTTCTCTTCTTTAATTTTTATTCAAGCAAATGACAAATATACAACAAACAAATGATTGGAGTATACAGAAGAACACAACACTTGTATAAACAAACTGTGGTGTTAATCAGACAAATATTTGCAAAGATTTACAGATAGAAATAGTCCTAAAGGCCTTTTTGTTGGTAGATTATGTTATTAATTTTACATATAGTTCCACATCCATAATAAAAGGAAAAAAAACATGGCGTTTTTTTTTTTTTTATAAATTTACATTTATGAATATAAAAGCTGGCCAAAAGTATTAGCAAGTTTATTATAAAAAAATAAATAAATAAATAAAAACATTTAGTATGTGTGTTCTCTTTACCTGTGGCGCTTACAAAACTGAGAAAGAGTTATTCTGACATCTGCTGGTGAATATAATGAATAGCCCTAACTGGAAACCTTTCTGTCACTGCACTGAAAATAACTTTTTATCATCGATTGTTTCACAAATTGATTCACACACTTCTCCTGCTGTATAAAGTTGTCTTTTTTCCCCTTCAGGGAACCCAGAAGAGTGGTGCTGCAAAGGGGCTCCACAGGTCTTGGATTTAACATCGTTGGAGGGGAGGATGGAGAGGGAATCTTTATCTCCTTCATACTCGCTGGAGGTCCAGCTGATCTCTGTGGGGAACTTAGAAAGGGGGATCGCCTCATGTCGGTACGAGCTAAGATACTTTGTATGCCAAGTTATGTGATTATTACAAATATGAATTACAATAATGTTACTTTTATTACTTCTATCATATATGTAGCAGCTCATAAAACAATGCAGTTATTATTTTTACTCCACATTACATGTCTGCCTGTTTAATGATCCTGGAGTTATAAACACGCAGGCTTCATATTTGCAATTCTTTTCAATTTCTGCAAAATCTGCAACTCAAACAAGGATTTCATTTAATGGGATTTTTTTTTTGTCACATTATTAGTTTTCTATCAGTTAATGATGCTGATAGTGGCTGTGTATGTTGAAGATATATGTTGAGACATTGTGAGTGTTGAAGCCTTATTGGTTAGTCTTCTAAAGTGAAATTTTGCTTTAATTTCTTAAAAATGAACTCCAGATGAATTTATTCACAGCCTGCAGTGATGCAGAATGCCCCTGCAGAATTAGTTATTTATTCATGCCAATGTAGACTGGGGAGTAATTGGATGCAATAAACAGGACTTGGCATGGTGCACAGATGCTACATATGAGACAAAGATCTATTAGGATGCGTTTTAAAGATACGCTCTAAACATATTACAAGTGATTTGTTCTAATCTGGGCTCTAATTGAGTGTGTTTGTGGGTGTAGGTAAACGGGGTGGACCTGTCCGGTGCAACACATGAGCAGGCAGCTGCAGCTCTGAAGAACGCTGGTCAGACTGTCACTATTGTAGCTCACTACAGACCAGAGGGTGAGTACAGAAATAATGTGCAAGATAATGAAAGAATACACCATTATATGTTCATTATGTGCTGAGAAAGATAACTAACTGCTTTTGACATATACTGTATCAGTGATGTAGGTCTGTTAGCTTATTGGTGGAGTCATATTCATATATAATCAAGACAGGAATGGATATAAAAGATGAAAAAAGCCAAATTACTCCACTTTCAACGGAGCAGCAGTAATTCAGTAATTTGAGCTGAATTTGTGATTTTGCTCTTTTTGTGGATGTAACATGTTGCAGTCTTTAGAACAGAGGTCATCATTAAGTTCGCTCAAAGGTTATATTGTTTTAAGCAGACGGTGTATGTGGGGGGGGGGAGGGGGCTTAGCCCTGTTTCCATTTATGATTATGTCTGGACAGTTTTATTTATTTGTAATGCCTTTCATCAAACATGGCAATTGCTCTTAGTTTAAGTGTTTAGGGTGAGGTGATTTTATCTTGACTTTTCCTGCAAATCACTGTAAATAAATGCTGGATGTTGATTAAAAAAAATCAAACATAAAAAAATTGTAACAACTTGTATAAAAGGCAACATGAAATAACTACATTCAAAATAACTTACCTGATAGTTTTGAGTTGGACAACCTCCGTGAACATGTTTGGGTTAGAAAATTCAATTCACTTCAATTCAAAGTTAATTTATATAGCACATTTAAAAACAACCACAGTTGAACAAAGTGCTTCACAAGAATACAACATCATAGATAAAATATGATAAAATGTGATAAACTAAATAAAATTGAGTTTAATAAAAATAACAGTATGATATAATTTGCAGTAAAATACCAATAAAACAATAGTACTAATAAAAACCAAGACAGCTTTTGCATATTTGCTGCAGTTTCCCCAAAACTCGAGTCAGTAAATTACTAATTTGAGTAAAGGCCAGGGATGTGTTTTCAGTCTGGACTTAAACTGATCTACTGACTGAAGTAACATTTACATGTAAATAACATGAAAACTTTTTATTGCTTCAAGAATGAAATCAAACAAAGTTTAGTTTAAAAGGGGTTTTTAAAACGTGCCTAGATTGCAAGAACGTCAGGCAAAATTCACATGAAAGTCAATCTTGGGGTCTCCTGCTCTCGAGCACTTTTTAATCTGACTAATAAATCAGTCATTAACGTGTCATGCCATGATGTTTTAATGACCTGATGTTTTAAACTTACACTGTACTGCATTGTTTTAAAGATCCAACACAAAGAGCAGCCAAAATATTCTCTGTTCACCATTACACCAAAAGTTCTACCCATACACTCACAGTAAGGGGCCAAACAGGCGCCATCCCAGAAATAGTCCACTGAGAGTGAGTGAGAAGGCCATAACCAAGGAAACCAGGTTATAAGTGCTCATTGGCTCAGCTAACAGGGTTCTGTCATGGCAAAGGCTTGAACATTGATCTCCCAAACACACAAACAAAAGCATAAATCAGTTTATAAATGGACACACAGACACAGTTATACTGCGTTTGGCCCTGATTTACGGCGGTAATGTCTTTTCTGTTTGGGTTAGATTTGTTTGTGCGAGGCTCTTTTTAAGGTCATCATGTATTATTCAGCTGAAGAAGCTGTGCAGAGGGTGTTGTAGTGAAAAACAGGGTAATGCACTTAGGATTGTTGGACATGAAATGTACTCATAAGTGTAATTTTTAACAATAAAAATGTGTTTTCCTATTTTAGCAGTGAGGTGCTATGTCAACAATTTGTTTTAAAGGTGAAATAGCCTGATATTTATTTAAAAAGGAAAAATAATACACTTTCAGATAGTTTTTGTTAAGCTTAGTCTGGGTTCAACTACCAGTTGTTGTAGTAACCAATAAATCTGATCATTTCTTAATTATTTATTATTACTTTTTCATTTTTACTGAGCAGCAATAACTATTCCTAGTAGGAAGATAAAACATGGTTAGGAGAATGTTTTTGTATGAAATAATCTTTATATAAAAACACATTTATTTTATGAAAAATGATGAATGATAAACGGAGTGTACTTATATAGCGCCTTTCTATCTTGTGAAGATACTCAAAGCGCTTTACAACACAATCTGTGTCCTCATTTACCCATTCATACAACACTTTACTAGATCTCTACAAAGCTAATGGAACAAATCATTCTAAAGAGATTAATCAGAGCTTTATCACATTCATGCACCGATGGGACACACATCAGAGGCTATGAGGGGTTCAGTGTCTTGCCCAGGGACACTTCGGCATGTGACTGCTGGTGGATTCGAACCCCCAACTCTTGCATTGGCGGATGACTGCTCTCACCACTCAGCCACAGCCACCCACAACATACTTACTGGTAGTTCCTGGATTGTATTAAATTTGTTTTTTGAAAATAATGGAAGAAACTGACATCTATAAATATTGTAGAAGACATTTTCAAGGCTAGAGATGGATCTGATTCAGCATTTCTCATGTAAAAAAGTCAGTAGTAAACAGACCATAAATAAATTCATTACATACAGGTCAAGCTAATGGTAGTCTAACGCATGAAGTATGCAGGAGGTCCTGGAGGACACTGAAATAATCAAATTGAGTGTGAACTACCCTCTGCAAATGTCATGGTAACTCAAGAAACTACCATCAGGACATCATCCATACATCATGTTGAAACTCATCATTAGAGGTTCTGAAAGGTTTGGCACGCATGATTTATGGATATCTATTTTTAATTTAAGGACACAAAGTGTGATTCAGTAGTGATCTATTTCTTTCCAGGAACCAAAAGCTGAATCAGTCCCCCAAAAAAACAGAACAGTACCAAGTTCAGAATGCATGTGATTCACGTTAAACACCAAATATTCATCACAAAACTCTGATAATTAGAAACCTTTGATTTGGAATTATAACTTGTCTTATTTTGATTAAAATACAAAATAATTGTATACAAGATGTAGGTACGTCATATAAATAATGTTATAAACATATGTTTTTTTCTATTGATCACTAGAAACGTACTAGCCTTTTCCAATCTACATCTGTTAACTTGTGAACGTGACAGTGTTTTTAATCTAAGCCTCATGACGAGATTGAAGCATTTTAAGTAGAATATTTCAGAGGTAATGTCTCTGAAGAGGCAGATTGAATTGATTTTACTCTCAGAATTGGAATTTCTGATTAATATTGTCGTAGAAAAAAACTGATTCACAAACGATCAAGTGTAGCTTTCATCAGATTTATTACAAAGCTTTGGGCAACAGCCAGACTCACAGAAAGTCAATGCATCACAAGTACAGAATTTATTGACGCCTTTTCCTGTCGGAGTTCCTGACCCATTCTGGCTTCCTGGAATGAAAAAGTTTGTTTTGTAGAAACTCATCAGGGACCTGCCCCTCCACTTCACCTCGTCAGTGTTTTTCCAAACCAAACCCAGACGGCTAACAGTATCAGAAAAAAAAAAAAACTTTTTCAAGATTTCTTATGTGGGCATTAATAAGCATCTATCCAGCTGTCCACTGATGGCTGATTCACAGACTGTGATACCAAAGCATTATATCACATAGCATTGTTATATTAGTGACAATTACCTTCACGTTATAAAAGGATCATAAAGGTTATTAATACAGTAAAATAATATTTGGATGTATCAAGAAGCAAATCAGTAAATAGTATATTTCCATCACAAATATACTGCTGTCTCTGCAGCAAAGTACATAAATGACTGAGATAAAGCAGACTGGCTGGAGCAGCTTAGCAGTAATACTGATACTGCATTATCTTGGTATCAACACGGGCACACCAACATTTAGTCCTGATTTTATTGGCTTTACAATTTTATTTAAATTTTGATTGGATTATAGCAGGGGGGTCCAAATGTTTTCATATGTGGGCCAAGACTATCGAGATGAAAGAACTCATGGGCCACAAAACATGTGAATTTAACTCTCAATATATTTGGAGAAAGGACAAAAGTTTACTAATTTTGATGGAGAGTTTTAAATTGTTGTTGATCCAGAACATTAAAAGCCTCATAAACACTAAGTTTATAGGTTTTATTAAAAATGATTTGATTTATTTGAGGTTTTGGGTCCATGTTTGTTGTTTTCTTGTGTTTGGAAAGTTGATTTTAGTCTGTTCTCAACAACAAAAGCATAATAGGAGTAACTGTCCTTTTAAAAGGGGGTCAATCAGCCTTTTGCACCATGGACGGCCCAAAAGGCTGATCGAAGTTCTGAAAAATCGTCCAGCTGTCAGTCGTTACAACAGATTCGTAGAAGGTTTGATAAAATTGATCAACTTTTATGCAAATTATACCTCATTGTGTTCATTTAAAAATGTCCAATTTCCCTCGTGATTATTTTATCAACTGCAATATTTAGCCCAGTTTTATGAATCATTATCCAAAAGTCTCCTTTCTGGTAGAAATCAGTAAAAGTTTTTTGTGCTTTGTACCATGAAGTGAAAACAAAAATATTATAGCCAAAGGTTTGTGTTTTGTTTGATATTACTCATTATGAGAAATTGTTTTTCATCCGTTTTGCTGTTAAACCTAAACATTATATAAAAAAAAAAGTATTGCCAGTGAATTTGCAGAAAGTCTGCATCGACCTCTTAAGCCTGCTGGCCAAAATGATACCATTCTTAAACTGCAGTTGTGGGCCGCACAAAATCACTCCAAGGGCCACAAATGGCTCACGGGCCACACTTTAGACACCCGTGGGTTATAGGCATCTGCTGTGAGGTGTTAGGTGTTCGGCACCATGGAAAATGCTTTAAGCTCTTCAGCCGTTCAATAGTAACACTCCAGTAAAAACCTTTCATAGAAACTAGGAGTGTTGTACTCAAATGAGTTTAAACTTGTTGTGGTTTGATGACTGACAAAAGCTTGAACTCTGCTTGAATAGTTTGCTTGCTTCTTTTACAGAAGAGTCTAAATCACTTGTCAAAACAACAACTAAATATTTCCTTCGTCTGCACAATTGGTCTAAATGAAGCACAATGCAAACAGAAGTATTAATT